ATTACAATCGAAGACAATTTTCATTTATATAAATCCTTAAATTCATACAATGACTGCTGCAAAAATAATGTTGGTGCTGACAACGTTTTATCTGATGATATGACTGATCAGTAACTCATATTTACTAAATTCTGATGTATTATTTACATAGCTAAGTAGGTCACAAAGCAACAAGTATTGAGCAACCCAGAGAATATTGAATGCACTATAGTATACAGCATCAGGCCAAGGTCATTCTTGTATTGGCTTTAAATATATCCTTAATATGAAGTAAAAACAAAAACATCAATATATGTGTAAAATGCAAAGAAAACAAGCATTCTGATTGGTGTGCTCTGTAGGTGTGCAGTTTTTGTGCAGCCACAATGCAAAACAAGTTGATAGATTTGAACAAATTATGTAATTATACATTCTCAATGAAATGAAAAAATAAGGAACAAGCAAGTTCTGAAAATAATTAATTTGCCAGGCCTTTGTTTGTTCTCTATCACACTGCAAGTGTACCAGGTGCAAGTAGATACGGTCTCTGCCCCCAATCTTGTAACGTATCTTCTTTGATGTCAACCAGAGATCAGTAAGATATATTAAGGCCGAGGTTGAAATGACACCCCCGCCATCTGACTACAATAGGATAAGTAGTAGTTTTAAAGTCAATATTTTTATTCTCTCGCTAACCAAACAAATATGTGTGTTTGTTCGTGTGTGTAAAATTCTATCAAAAATGCAAAACTGAGTTGTCCATTATTTTCTTGTTTAATGAAGAATGTTGAGTTACATGGCAAAATTTGTATCTTGTATGCACCTGTTTGTTTCTCTCCTTCTCAGAATTGTGTAGTTTTCCTTGTCTTTCAATCAGCAAAAATTAGTAAAGTTAATGAGAAAAAATGGCTAAATTAGCCATTTTTTCTCATTAACTTTACTAATTTACTTTTTGTATGAATGATTCATTGTAATATATATATGATAAAAATATAGTTTAAACATATGCAATATTTATGGGTTAAAGTGTTCAATATTAGGGATAGAGCATATGTAACTATAAAAGTGGACACAAAGGTCAACACACAGTGGTGACTGTCCATTGCATGCTTAAATGCAATCATCAGGCCATGTACAATGTGTTTTGGCTCAACTATTAATATATGCTGGTCAGGTGAATTATTCTAGGAGCTATTGAGTGGAAGTAAATGTGGATCTGAATGCAGTTTTGAGGCTAGTTCAGTGTCGTTTGTTAACTTTTTTACTCATTATTTATTAGTGATTATTTTATTATTTCTTGTTGGTTGTTATTACATTTATGTGTGTGTTCATAGTTTGTTAATTTGTTTATTATTTACTTAATTTGTTTACTTACTGATTAGGATTAATTTATTTTACTATTTTTCATTTATTTTATTATTTATTTTTGTTCATTTTTAGTTTTTCAATTTTTAAGTAACATAGCAAAAATTTGTTTTCGTGTCTGCATTTTGAGACAAGTTCAGATCATTTATTCTGTAATTTGTGTTGGTCTGGGAAGGTAAATATGGCTATTTTCTCCTCCAGACAGAGTTTACAGTTTTGATTTTGAGTTGTTGGCTTATATATACATGTTGATTTATTTTGGAGTTTTGTCTAATTTTGGTGTACACTGGTAGAAGAATTCTACATGTAGCTGAGCTTAGAAATCTTATTTTAATGATGCACTTAAAACAACAACTCAAATGCTGGCAATTGTATTCCCGGAAACATTTTATCAATTTAAGCTTTATCGAAACCTTGATGGCTGCCAGGTGGAGCACTAATTCTTTGCAGCATATACCTTGAAATAAATGTAATAAAAATACTTTTACTTCATGATTTTGCATTAAAATGCAATATCAAAGAGACGATTACACAACAATTTGCCAAAGTTCCACTGAACAACATGCACAAGTAACAATTCTTTTGTTCTTGATTTGTAGAGCTATGAGCGCATTCACACCAATCATTATTCCTCATAGTGTTAAATATAACAACATTTAAAATAAAAAATCTATATTATTAATTAAAATTCATTATCATTGTAGTGTTAAATAAACAACAATACAGTATTTTTTGTGGTGTTAAGCAACAAAACATTTAAGATACCATAAAATCTTTAATTCTCACTACAGAATAAAAACAAGACACTCATATATATAATTAAAACCATTCAAAATTAATAGAATCATCACCATCTGATGCAAAGCGCTCATAAACATCATCATTTACAGTTTCGACATATGGGTCCTAGTTGATCATTTTATACTACAGATTTTATAACCACAAAAATTTACCTAGATTTCAGGTCTTGGCTCATATATAGGTTGCCATATACATAGAAATATATTGTACTTATTAAAACAGACAGTAACTTTTGAAACACTCCAGTTATATATATATATATATATATATACACACTATTTTTTTTTTTTATACATTATTTTTTATGAATTCACTTCCAGTTAATCAAAGAGGTTATAGGATGCCAGGCTTAATGGTGATTTTGTATAGGATGCAGGTTTGATTCCTATTGGGGGACACATATTTTCTATGAAATTTCTCAAACATTCAGGCCGGTAAATGTAATTAATACTGCTTAATCAAAAGAACAGAGGATTTACTCAAATAAGTGTATGTATAAGAAAATAATGGATAAACAGAAAATATATTAAATATTTGTCGTATTTTATACATTTCCTATTATACATATATATATATATATATATATATAAATATACACACACACACACATACATACATACACTACTGTATTTACTTGTGCATAATACAAGAAATATTGAACAAAAATTAGGAGTTGTATTATACATAAGTACATGTTTCCAAAACTTTTTACTCAGCTTAAAAATCCTCTTACTCGAAACAGGAAGATTGCAAACACTCTCACTCGGTACAATAGATAATAAAACACAAAATAGGCAGATGTTGATAACAATTGTTTACAAAAAGCAATTTGATATGTCGGTCATATTTGTTATTTGGGAATTAGCGCAATGTTTAAAATTCAAACAGTTTTGTTCACAAGGTTCTTCAATGTTTGGATTTTCTTTTTCGTTTTTTTTTATAAAGTTTTCTCTCTTCTCTTTTCATTCTGAAGGAAAGATGATATTTTTATTTTCATAGTTTATTAACATAAAATCATATCAAACAGAAAAGCATGAAAGATTAACGCCTTGAAATGTATTAATGGGTATGTCTCATTAGCACCATTCCCCCTAAAATAAGTTTTGAAATTAGAAGAAACATACAATGGCTAAACATCCAGTTCTTTAGTATTTAATATTTTGGAAAATTAAATAATTTAGTGAAATATTTGCACAATATTGAGATCTTAGTATCTGTCTATATTTCTGAGATGAGGTATTATGTCATTATCTACATTATTTGGACTATTGTCCTCATCTTTGTCGCCATATTTATTACAACGTTTCGTCCGTTGTACGCTCCAGCCTTCTTCAGGTATTTGGAATGCCGAACTTAACCCTTTATTTCGCTTACTGGGGTAGACTGTTCTAGTACCATGTGCCATGTTTTAATGGATGTCAGTGGATCCAGTGACAAAGAGTGTGAGTTCAATACCCGGTTAAGGCAGTGGAGAACTTTCAGAGGGAAATTAACAGGAGATAACTGATATCCATTAAAACATGGCACATGGAACTAGAACAGTCTACCCCAGTGAGTGAAATAAAGGGTTAAGTTCGACATTCCAAACACCTGAAGACGGCCAGAGTGTAAAATGGCTGAATCATTGTAATAAATATGGCGACAAAGATGAGGATGATAGTCTGAATAAAGTAAATAATCGAGATCTTAATGGATAACATGCTACAATATTAAAAAAAAAAAATATCACATAGAGATGGTTGTACTATGTATTATATTCATGGATGTAATTTATTCCCTATTTTTAGTTTTTGAAACATTGGGGGTGTATTATATTGGTTGTAATATACACAAGAAAATACAGCATTACATATACAAATCAGAAATAACAACAACAAACAAGAAAATATATAGTCATGGAAAATTAGCAGTTTCCCTTTGACAGTCATTGGCCAAAAAATGTTACTGATGTTTTTTTTGTTTGTTTTTTTAAAAATCAAATTTATGCCAAGCAAAGCACTAAAGCCACTAAGATACATGGATTTACTGCATGTAAAAGAATAAGAAAACAGAAAACATTACAAAGGAGTGAGAACAAGAGAAGAATAACCAGGAAGACAGTAGATAATGATTGACATTGCATTTAAATTATGAAGATCAAAATTAGCTGGAAAGCATGAAGCCAGAAGAGAGTTTCACAAGTAAGAAGTGTGAGAAAAGAAATTGTTAGCATAGAACTTACGGTTACAACTAGCCAATTCAACTGTAAATTGATGACACCCTGTTGCCAATCTAGTACTGCACTTAAATTCATAAAGTTCAGGTAGCTTAGCAAAGAGTTCAACAAACAATTACCATAAAAGTATTTTTAGAAAAGGCAGAGGGAAGCAACCTTATAGTAGGGAAAGTGACTGAAGCCAAGATGTCAGATCAGGACCAATATTATTGCTGATTCTTCTTTGAATTTTATCAAGGAGCTCAAGGTAAATAGCAGGGACACCAAACCCTAAGTGTTGGCCATATTCTAAGCATGGGCGAATGGTAGACTTATAGATATACAAGATAGATTCTGGAGAGAAAAATAGTCTAGCATGACACAGTGAACCATCTTTCTTTACAGCTGACCTACCAATGTATTCAATATAGTCTTTCCACTTAATGTCTGTTACTTGAAATTTATAAAATCTTTTTCTTAAAACAGATTTTTCAGGAAATTAGACTTTAAGGCCATTGCTATGTTTCCAAATATTTTCTTTTATGCAAGATAATTATTAAGACTTATTTTACTTTAAATTTTGTGCCAGAACAGACCTAATAATGGCAGCCCCTCATAAATCCTGAAACTAGGTACCAAAGCACAGTCTTAGTAAACTTACCTGAGCCTTTTGGTGTCTGCCGGACATATGTTGCAAACATCTTTACAGATGCTGTGGGATGTGTCTCGGCAGCTAAGCCTTCTCGAAATTTGTCGAGCATGAGATTCATTATCTCCTCATAGTCGGCATCTGTCAACTTGAATGGGCGGAGAATATTCTCAATCTGCAAAAGAGAAAAAAGTTTGATAAAAACAAATCAGGTACAAAGATGGTGGAGGTCTCTTCCTCATCTGTGTGAAAATTATTCAGTATTCAATGCCACATAGAGCTGAACTGTTATGTAATATCTGTCCTAACAAAATTTTCCCATGTTTAAATACTTTACTTATTTTCTCAAAGGCATCTTTAGCTATACTGAGAGCAGGTTTCTGTATCACTTTTTCCACTATCTGTTACCACACTACCAAGAGAGTGAGTGGCGACAGAAATTTAGCTAGTACAATTTTCAAAAGTCTATCAATCAAAACGAAGAAACAATGCCGATAGTCAAGCTATCCATGCCAAACATGGATAAACATGTTCGCAATCAGAAGTATCAAAAAGGCAGTTTTTTCCTACAACACTGCTATTATTTTAACTACCTTCACTCCTTGGCAATGTTTTAAAAAGTGATTTAACTGGAATAAAACCTAAACATTTGATAAAAGTGAATTTATACATTTTTTTGTTCTTGTGAATTTACAACAAAAATATTAAATACTATTTATTTAATAGATAGTTTAATTACAAGAATAATTTTATATTTACAACTTTCAAAAAACTAATACAACTAATGCAATGCAATATTTATCATTTACCAATTTATAAAGAAATAAACATGAAAATTTTCATTCATAAATTTCTAAACATTTACTAAATTATTAAAATATATGAACCAACTATAAGGAAATCCTTATTTACCATTTTATAAAGTTTGAATTGATTGGCAATTAGCTGATGTTTTGCCAACCATTCTAATAAAAAATCTAATAAATAAATAAATAGTGTTTATTATTTTTGTTGCCAATTCTAAAGAACAAAGAAAATTCACTTCCATCATATGTTTAGGTTTTATTAAAAAATTCTAATAATCGCTTTTTAAAACAATCATTTCTGAAAAGTGAAGATAGTTAAAAGAAAACCGGTGTCATGGGAAAAACCGTCTTTTTGACAGTGTTATTACAGGCACATTTATCCACATTTGCCCAATTGATTTTCTTTCATCAATGAATTCCAGTTTATTTCACGACCCATAAGAACATTTTATTTAATATTTGACATATGACAATAATTTCAAGTTCAAGACGAAGGAAATTCAAGAACATATATATGACTTATTTGAATCAAACTGAGCAGTTAACAACTCTTTATGAAGCAGTTGATTCAGTTTCAGTTTTCATTCATTCTACCAAAACTTTCTTCCAGATAAAGAAAAACCTTTAGAGGACAAGGTAACTGTATACATTGTAAGAGTTTATAAAAATATGTGATTTGTCGTTGTCATCTGTAACTTTTGTTTCAGGTTTTTGTTTTCCACCTTGCAAACCCTTCTTCCCAGCCTCTCGCTACTCTACCACTACATTCCTTAGTTCAGCAAAATCTAACACCCCCCCCACTCCCAGCTAAGACTCACCACTGGAGCTACTCCACTTTCTCGTTATTAAATGCGTCTACAGAGCTTTGCGGGTGATGAATTGTTTTTGACCTTACAACCTCTTTCTTCACAAACAAAACTTTGCCAGCCTCTCTCTACTCCATGGAAAATGTTTAGACGAGCTACATTTCCTAGTTCATCAAAATCTAACCCTCCCTGCTAATACCCACCACGGGAGCTACACAGTCTTCCCTTTCTCGTTAAAAGCGTCTACGGCGTGTTGTGGGTGATAAATTGTTTTTCACCTCACAACCCCTTTCTTCACAGACAAAACTTTGCCAGCCTCTCGCTAATCCATGAAAAGTGTTTAGATGAGATACATTCCTTATTGCGTCAAAGTCTTACTCTCAAAGCTACGCACCCCCCCCCACGCTGCAGACACTGAGGTTAACGACACTCATTTCCTTCATATTTCATTATTAAGGAATAGGTTCCACTCAGATAACTGGAACAGACTCCCAGGAGGATGCTTTCCCAACCACTACAATTGTAACTTCTTCCGTTATATTTCCGATATATCTGCAAAAACTATGCCCCTTAATCTTACCACCTTCAATAACCTTCTACCTTACCTTGAGTGTCACTAGTATAAAAAAAAAAAGAAATGAGGTGTCTTAGATAATTTATCATTTGAAACCTAGTCATTGTTACTCAACAATTGCTTGGCCAACAATAGGCAGTTTTTGCTTTTCATCTATCATGTCTGCTAAAGATGGCTATGAAGAAATTGATTTTCCTTTTAAAAAAAAGCATTTATAATCTTGTAATTTTAAGTATCAAAAATTTAAGGAATTTAGATAAGACTAGACCACCTGTGACCCGTTGGATCAACCTTGTTGTGTTCACTATTTACATTTAGTATCATGAAGAGTTTGTGAAAGTAGAGATATTTTAAAAATACATTTATTTGCAGTTACTTAAGTTGTTCAACATTAAAAAAAATGTCTGAAGAAAGTTGAACAATAAGAGGTTGGAATGTCAAAAGTCAGAGTTTTGGGATTTGATACAATAACATAAAATATTGTTGTGGGGCTGCATGTATCTCATCCATTTAGAATAATCAAATGATTTTCATTGAAAGAATAAAATTCAGTAGAAATGACAACGTAGTTTCAACAAATGAAAATTAATAAAACGACAAGAATACAAGCAATTGGTCATAGATTAGAAAGTAATGTCTTTTTGTTTGGGTTGATAAAATTCTGAAATAAAATAAAAATTCTCTTTATGTACATATGTGAGAAACAATGAAATGTCATGTGTATTTGTGTAAAAAGTATGTGTTTGCATGGTTCATAGCAAAGAGGATACAAGAGATAGAATTTGTTTCTTACTGTGGACAGTGTTGCCGTAGTCTGAAGCAGTCTCTTTGTAGTTTGTCATTGCTGTTACTTTTAGCATGAGATCGTAAAGTTCACAAGCAAGAGTGGCATGGACCTTGATGACACCTGTGCGTATCCTGTATGGGGCCCAGATTTTGTGTTTTATACACTTTCTCATAAGAAAATCAGCTCCATCCTACATAATAAATTTACATCTTTCCTTTCCCCACTCTCTATATATGATTTCTGGTAAACACACAAGATACAAAGTTCACAGAGTTTTATATAGTAACAAGATATTAATCAAAGCCTTTTAGAAAGCATGATTTTTACTGTTCCCTAATTTTTCTAGGATTGGTTTTCTGTTTCTTTCTAAAGTCTTCTTCAACTCTTGTCACCACCTAAAACATTGAAAATTTATTTATTATGTGCCTCCCCTCTCCAATAGGAGGAGTCGTTTATCCCTTGGTTCCTATTTAGCATTGCATTTCCTGTTCCTTGTTTTTTTTCATTCTCTTTCAGTTCAATTTATTGTTTGCAATCTACTCATTGTTTGTTACTCAATGATTGCTTGGCCAACAATAGCCAGTTTTTGCTTTCCATCTATCATGTCTGCTAAAGTTGGTGCCATTTTAAAAATAGTACTTGTAATTTTAGGCATTGTTTTAAACTAGATCGTAAAGCAGTTTGCAGAATTCAGGCGGCAGAAGGAAATGAAACAAAATCTGACCATCCTGCTCAAAACTTATTTATGCATTTTAAAGGTGGTTAACTTGTAGAACACAAAGTCAAGGTATGAATGGCCACAAAATGTGCACCAGCAGTCAAACTCTTTCAGAAAATCTCAGAGCATGTAAAGCATAACTTCAGCTTGGACAATAAAGACTTGATTAACAAAAACACCTTTGCTACACACTAATATTTTGTATGGTCATTCAGACATTCACAATGCAATTTATGAAACCGGTTTACATTCACTTTTAGCTTTCATTTCATGTTTCCATTTTTTAATGATTTTACTCAGAATATTTTTCATTTATTTTAGCCTTGACCCAGTAATAAATTTAATTTGTACGCTTTTTGAAGAGGGTGAACTTTAATGCATTCACTACTTCCTTGGATATTTGAATCTTTGTATAATGTCATTGATGTTTTTTATAATGGTGGGCATTAAAAATAGTGACATAAAACTATGCTTTATTTGTGGAAATTAGATTAAATTTATGCAAAATAAAGAATGGATGTTAATATGCGTCCTTAGAATTTGTTGAGATGTCTTCTTTCTCTTTTTTTTCTATATGGCATATAAATTATTTGTGTCATGGTCAATTTTTTTTTATTGCTTTAAAAAAAATAAATAAATAAAAATTCCAATAAATCAAGTTTAAAAAAAAAAAAAAACCTGAGAAGTTTTTTTTGTTATTTAAAGAACTAATAGCAAGCAAAGTCTATATCTGATGAGAAAAGCAATATTTTCATCTGAAACATTATCACACGAGTAAAAACAGTTCATTGGAATCCCACACTTTCACTTTATTTAATTTTAAAAAGCACTCAGGACAACAACGTAAACATGTCTTGTGATCAGTGCTGCAAAATGGTATCTGAGTCAAACTTATTGCCAGAGACGTTTTTTTCTTTTTAAATAAAACCATAGAATGGACAAATGTGTGCATCACAGGTAATAGTGTGGCTTGGTTTATTTTGTTTAATAGAATATCAAACTCAAAGGGTTATTTAATACTGACAAGATTTCTCTGATAGGTTCGTATGAATAGAGTATGTCTTCTTTGTAGGGAATCATTTTGTAGATTAGTTTTTCATTGACATATTTTATAAAGAAGGATTTTGCCAAGAGTCAAATGTTTCACTGGTAATTATTTTTTCTTCAAAAATGTATTGCTGGTTAAAAAACAATGTAGGTAAGCAGATTTAGTAAATGGTTTTTTTTTATATATATATATATATATATATATATATATATATATATATATATATATTCCTGTAGAGACCAATTTCTTTAATGAAATTGGTGATGTTACTTGGATTGATATTTTCAAACAGATCCTTTAAGTTATCTGATTTGTAGAATTTGATTTGGGTTTGCTTGAAGTTACAGCAATTTAGTAGAATGTGTTTGACTGT